CCGTCTTATACTGTGACAATGTTGGTGCTACCCAACTCTGTTCCAATCCAGTGTTTCACTCCAGAATGAAACATGTTGCCATCGATTCCCACTTCATTAGGGACCAAATCCAAAATGGTGTATTTTGTGTTACTCATGTGTCTTCAGCAGATCAACTTGCAGATGCACTCACCAAGTCTCTTCCCCGTGCCTACTTTCTTGATCTCAAATCCAAGAATGGACTTCTATTTCGGGCTCCATCTTGAAGGGGCATATCAGAGGATTGTAACAAATCGTAATAGCCCGTTAGTTTCTCTAAGTTTGAATTCATTCAAACTTGTTGTTCCTTAGATTTGGGAAACAGTTTTCAACTGCTCTATATTTTAGGATCTCAAACAAATGTTTGTTATCCCACTTGTGCATTTAACAGTTGCAAAATGTATTTGAAAGATATGACTGATTTTCACCATCTGAAGTCATTTTGGTGTCCTTGGTATTGACTGGTGATAACTACACCACATGGAGTTGATCGATGCTTAAAACTTTGAGTGCCAAGAACAAAACAGACTTTGTAAATGGCACAATAACTCAACCAGCAACTATAGATTCGACTTACAAACAATGGAAGTGATGTATTGATATGGTGTCGTTGTGGATCATGAATGCTCTTTCCAAAGAGCTCATTAGTGGCTCAATTTATGCCGAAACTGCATAAGAGCTTAGAAATGAATTGCATTTTCTCAAATCAATGGCCCTCAAATTTATCAAATCCAGGGATATGTCAATTTTCTTAGACAAGGTCAAGATTCGATATCCAGTTATTTCAAAAGGTTAAAGGCGTTGTGGGACGAATTGAATCTTCATAATCCCATTCTCGCGTGCAATTGTAGCATTGTGAAAACTCTAGACACTTATAAACAAAGAGATCAAACTATGCAATTTTTGATTGGTCAAAATGACAGTTATACCTCAGTCCGTGCACAAATTCTTCTCATGGAGACTATTCCTACAATGAGCAAGGCCTTTGCTCTTGTCTTGCAAGAAGAAAGAAAACGTTCTATTGTAGCTCCCTCATCCTTGTTGGATGCCATAACCTTCATTGTGAAAGGGGGTTCAAAATTTGGCAAAGATAACCAATTCAAGAGGCCCACATGTGAACATTGTGGTTGGGTTAGAGACACTAAAAAGAAATGTTACAAGTTGGTGGGTTACCCACTTGGTCATCCGCTACACAAGGACTCATCAAAGTAGGCCTCACATTACATTGCCCCAAAGCAATCATTTTCAGTAGCTACCAACCAAGTGTCCATTAACACCCAACCAAGCTCTTTTTCATTCACACCCGAACAATTCAATCAACTTCTTGGACTGCTCAACAATTCCCAACCCATGGCCGTAGGTAATCCTTCATCAAGTTGCACTCTCTTAGGTATTACACTTAACACAACCTCGTCTCTTTCATCTATCACATGGAGCGTTGACACATGGGCCACATATCATATGGTTGGTTCTGTTTCCCTTCTGAACCATATAACCTTCTTCGGATCCACTAGTGTTAAGCTTCTTAACGAAGATAATGTTCTTGTTTCTCATATTGGAAGTGCAACACTATCTTCTATTTTGACATTGCACAATGTGCTTTGCGTCTCATCATTTCATTTCAATCTCATTTATGTTAGAAAATTAACTCATGACTCCAATTGTCCAGTTCAATTTTTTTTTCTGATCTTTGTCTTATCCAAGACTTGTCCACGAAGATGATGATTGGAGTAGGTAGAGTTTGTGATGGCCTTTATGCTTTCGCCATTCCATGTTTTGAAACAACAACTCATGTGAGTACTACCACAACATATGATCTATGGCATACAAGACTTGGACATGCTAGTTGTGATCGTCTTAAATTATTGTCTTCTTATGTTCTTGATATTTCTATTCCTGTTCATAATCATTGTGGAATTTTCCCACTTACTAAACAAACTCGTTTACCATTTCCATTAAGCACTACTAAGGCTCTTGTTCCTTTTGAATTGATTCATTGTGATATTTGGGGAGATTATTGTGCACCTTCTATCCATTTTTGATGACATTACCCGTTGCACTTGGGTTTTTCTCATGCAAACTAAGGGTCAAACTTGAACACTCTTGCAATCCTTTCATACTTTTGTGAAAACCCAATTCAACCACAAGATCAAAATTGTTCGGTCCGATAATGGGTTAGAATTTAATATGTCCAACTTTTATAATCAAAATGGGGTCATCCATGAATGCAATTGTGTTGACACTCCACAACAAAATGGGGTGGTGGAGCGTAAACACCGACATTTGCTTAGTGTTGCCCGTGGCACTACGTTTTCAAACTAGTCTACTCATTTGTTTTTGAGGGGAATGTGTACTGTATTAGCTTCTGCTACCTTATAAATTGCACTCCTACCCCACTTCTTTCAGGAAAAAAAACTCATGAAATGTTATTTCAATCTCCACCTTCTTTTTTGCATTTAAGATCTTTTGGTTGCTTGTGTTATGTTACTAATACTAGTGCTTTCAAATCAAAATTTGATGCTCGTGTGACTCGTATTTTTCTTGGATATCCTTTTGCTCCAAAGGGTTACGAGGTTTATGACTTGGAAAGCAAACACTTATTTGTATCAACAGATGTGCAATATCATGAAAATATCTTCCTTTTCGTCAAGTTAAACAATTCACCTCCAAATTTTTTTGGTCTTACCCGAACGCATTCTTGATGAACTTAGTGATGGTGTCAATGGTACTTCTCCTCCCATGGATGTTTCCTCTCTAGTCATGGATGTCACACCAACCCCTCAATTGGTTGCCATTCCACCATCTTCTTCACCTTCTATGCCACGTCGATCTTCACGGGCATCCCATCCACCTTTATACCTCACTAATTGTCATTGCAAAATGGTTGTCCAAATTATACCTTCTATGGCATGATCCTTGGTATCTTATGATAAATTGTTTGTCTCACATCGTGCTTTCATAGTGAACATTTCAACCATTGTAGAGCCAAAGTTTTTTAAACAGGTTGTCCTTGATCCTAATTGGAGGCACGTAATGGCCGAGGAAATTAAAGCCTTAGAGCTACTAATACTTGGACTCTCACTGTACTTCCAGATCCCAAAGAGGGTATTGGAAACAAATGGGTTTATAAGGTAAATACAATTCTGATGGGAGCCTTGAATGATATAAATTCCCGCCTTGTTGCTAAAGGGTACAATCAGAAATTTGGCCTTGACTATCAGGAAACCTTCGCACACGTTGCAAAACTTGTCACAGTTTGTTGCCTCCTTGCTATTGTTGTTGCCCAAAATTGGCATTTACATCAACTTGATGTGAATAATGCTTTTCTTCATGGTGACTAAGATGAGGAAGTACACATGTAACTTCCACTAGGATTTTCTCATCAAGGGGAGAAGAATCTTGTTTTTCAACTCAACAAATCTTTGTACAGTCTTAAGCAAGCATATCGCCAGTGGTTTACAAATCTCTCTTCAGCTTATTAACCGAAGACTATCTAAGGTTGATTTTTCACCCTTCACTCGAATTATATCCAGCTCATTCATAGTCATTGTAGTCTATATTGATGATATTATTGTTGTTGGCAGTGATCTTGCTTCCATTAAAGATATTAAAGATTTTGTTCATAGCACATTCAATATTAGAGATCTTGGAGTCCTCAAATATTTTTTTGACCCTGAATTTGCACAATCTAGACAGGGCATTTTCTTATTTCAAAGAAAATATGCTCTTGATATTCTTGAAGATTCTATCCTTCTTGGTTCTCTACCTTCTTCATTACCGATAGAATAACATTTAAAGTTGAACAACCGTGATGGTGTGTTGCTATCAGACTCATCAAGCTATCGACGCTTAATTGGACTTGTAATTTACCTCACCATCACTTGTCCAGATTCGACTTATTCCATACATATGTTAAGCCAATTTCTTGATAAGCCTTGCCAACTCTATCAAAGTGCTGCTAATCATATTCTTCGTTATATCAAACAAACTCTGAGTCAAGGAATTTTACTCTCCTCATCTAGTGATCTCCAATTACTTGCCTTTTGTGATGCTAATTAACTGGGTTCTTCCCCAATCTCTTGGAAGTCCAAGAAACAGACCACTATCTCTCGTTCTTTAGCTAAAGTCGAGTACCGCGTCATGGCTAGTACGTGTTGTGAGATCATCTGGTTGTCTTATCTACTCAAGATCTTGGTGTCAATCACAAGTCTGCTACTCTTTATTGTGACAACATGGCAACCCTTCATATTGCTGTCAATCCAATTTTTTACGAATGTACCAAACACATTGAGATCAATTACCATATTGTTCGTGAGAAATTTTGGGCAGGCCTTATTCATACTACTTTTTTGCCCTCTCAATAACAATTACCAGATGTTCTTATGAAACCGTTTGGTTCATTAGCATTCCGCATGTTGAGTTTCAAGTTGGGTGTTCCCAATATTCACATGCCAACTTGAGGGGGAGTATTACGGATACACACCAGTGTACCAATATGGAAAGGCATATCTCAATCTCTGTAATCATGCAATCACAAGCATTAACATAGGAAACATGTGTAGTTTTAATATAGGATTCTGCTAGAATGATTTTCTGTTATTTCTTTTTACTCTTCTTTGACTTTACTGTATAAATATCGTATACATACACTCAATAAACATAAGCTTTTACCTTCTACCAGAATTATTAAAACTTAACGGTTCGTCTATGTGAGGATCAAAACGATACGAATTGAATATTTTAGGTACTAAACTAACAAAAAATGCATACTTTAAGGACCAAAAGTGCTATTAACCATTCATTTAATATTGTAGCATTGAATCTTCATATATTTATCATGTTTAATTTTTTTTTCTTTAAATTGTTGGATAATATTCTAATTCATGCTTTGCACAATCTATAACAAAATCTTGACTCCACTTTTTTTTGTGAATATGCATTGAAAAGTCTTAATAAATGTACAAATTGAAATACCAAGTACTATGTTGGAGCAGGTCAGAGATGACGATGGAGAAAAGAAATGGAAGCGGGTTGAAGTGAACCTTAAAGACCATCTTATTTACCCAAATTTCCCTCAAGGAATGTCACTAGAATTTTATGATGAGTACTTGGGTGACTACTTAACAAAAATAGGCATGGATCAATTACCACAAACTAGACCATTGTGGGAAATTCACATAGTTAAGTACCCAACAAGCAGTGCAACAGGGAATGTAATATTCAAACTTCACCATGCTTTGGGTGATGGCTATTCTCTCATAGGAGCTCTTCTTTCTTGTATGCAAAGAGCTGACAATCCTTCTCTTCCCTTGACGTTCCCTTCATGTCAATCGAGCTCCAAACCCAGGCATGATAGCGTTAGCATTTTCAGGCGTGTACCGAGAGTTTTATCTGGGATGATCAACACTGTATTAGATTTTGGATGGACCCTCTTGAAGAGTAGCATTGTAGAAGATGATCGGACACCAATCAGATCCGGAGATGATGGGGTTCAGTTCCGCCCTGTCAATATAACTACCATGACATTCTCTCTTGATCAGTTCAAGCAAATTAAGGCCAACCTTGGTGTGGTAATTCTATTTCTCAAGTAGCATACCTTTATGACTATGTTCATATGATACATTTTTCTTGTAGATTTCCCATGCTATGTTCAATAAATAAGGGTTAAATGAGAATAGAAAAATAACATCTAATATTTTGCATCATTTATCTTACAATTACATGATATATGTAAAAGGAATTTGCATCATTTAAAACTAAGCCAACTCATAATTTGAAAAACATTTTGAGAAGAGTAATGCTATGAAACTAAAAAAATTGACCTAATGACGTGGTAGTTACATGATTTAATAGTATTGTTATGACTATAACTGTTTGGGCTTTTGCATTGAGAGTCATTACTTACCACATCATAGGTCAGTAAATGAGTCACTTTTTTTAGGTTCCAATAACATTACTCATT